GCTATAGGATTGAGGGCTATTGGGTCTTTTAATTAATGGGTTCAAACCCACTAAGCCTCTTGCACATAATGAGCTCAGAAATTGTTTAAAAACTCCTTTTTATGATAACTCAATTTAAAATCCAAAATCAATTACAAGAAGGCTAAAACGTGATAAGAACACTCATAAAAAAACACATTTAAAATATTTCATGGAAAACCCAAAATATAAATGCATTATATAATAATAATATTAAAAGTAAAACTACATGAAAATAGAAATGACATTTCCCTCTACTGATTGAAACATAAAAGAAAATTACATTACAAGATATATGCAGGATTTTTCCATATTAATCTCGAAATCTTTTAAGTAATTTGAAATTAGTCCCTCTCTAGAAGCTAGTTGAGATTGAGTGAGTACTCCATCACTTTTAACATTTTTGTATGTAATAGTACTTGTACCCATATTTATTTGAACCCAAATTCCAAGACATGTAACTTCACTAGAGCATAAATTGGGGAAGCTTACGCGATAGTAGATTTAACTCCACTAATTTTGAACTTGATCTTAGTGGAGATTGATGTTGATTATAGTTGATTTGGTAAAATTTAATAATTATCCTACTCTGATTAACCACCAAATCATGATTAACAATTTGGATGTTAAATGTAAGTTATGTAAGAAAGCGACTAATTTTAAAAAACTTTAAAGATTTGGGGAAAATTTTCAAAATATAAAGGAAAACTAATATAAAGGAAAACTAACTTCAAATATGAAAGATTTGGGGGATAAATTTTGAAGTATGAAAGATTTGAGGGATTTATATGAAAAGGAACTCCTATATGAATGTTACCTATGTTCCTAAAATGATATCCGCAATCCTTAATTTGACTTGTATTTTAAAAATAGTTGAAATCCTATTGTCTAACTATATCCTAATTTCAAAATAGAAGTTTAATGGAGTATTGGTATTGCAACAGATAATATGCTAAATTTAGAGTAATTATTTTTACAATTATTTTATTGAAACTAACACAAATTAAATGCGTTTTAGTTCAATATAGAAGTTTAATTGAATATTTTAGTTCAATATAGAAGTTTAATTGAATATTGGTATTTTTACGGGTGTCCATTCGAGCACAAGGCACGGGCACGAACCGGTGTTCGGCCCAAACCCAACCGGGTAAAAACCCGACTTGTATTTTAAAAATAGTTGAAATCCTATTGTCTAACTATATCCTAATTTCAAAATAGAAGTTTAATGGAGTATTGGTATTGCAACAGATAATATGCTAAATTTAGAGTAATTATTTTTACAATTATTTTATTGAAACTAACACAAATTAAATGCGTTTTAGTTCAATATAGAAGTTTAATTGAATATTTTAGTTCAATATAGAAGTTTAATTGAATATTGGTATTTTTACGGGTGTCCATTCGAGCACAAGGCACGGGCACGAACCGGTGTTCGGCCCAAACCCAACCGGGTAAAAACCCG